TTTAAATACACTAACCTCACTCCTTTGTAACAACTAAGGAAAAAATGTAATTAATTCAGAAAATCTTTTCAGGACCCCACCTTGATGTTTCGGGACCCACTTTGGGTCCTGACCACAACTTTGTGTAACACTGAAAATGATTTGGCAATTAACTCCATTTTCGTTCTAGGGATGTTTTTTTTAACAGAAAAACAGATTCCTTAAATCTAAACTGAACTTTGTTGCTTTCCACAAAGAACTGTGCCTTTTCTTTTCATCACTAAAACATGAGAAAAAAAGAATTCTGTGAAACGTTTCAATAAGCTAAAGGACCTTAAGCTCATGGAATACCTCTAGCATTATTCTTACAAAATAATTCTTTAAACATACTTTTTTTCCTTTTAACTGTTGTTATTTAYATCTTTGTTGTTGTTTTGAATTTGCAGTTGTTGATATTGTGTTTTCATTTAAAAAATGTGCACAAGATGGCGCCATCACTGTGGAAAACTTCCACTTCCGTCTTTGCGCAGATCCCACTTCCGGTTTTTTCCCATCACACGGAAAAAAAAAAAACCCAGCTGGAAGCTGTTAAAGATGGCCGCCGCGACCGTGGTGGGGTTCGATGGCCACAGGATGGAGGAGAAGAAGCTCGAGTACTTCTCCTCCATCAGCTCCATGGCCAAGAAGATCATGCAGGAGCGGGAGAAAATCAGAAGCAGATACGGGCCGTCGTGGGAGCGGATGACGCCGCAGGAGCAGGACGACGCCATCGACAACTGCCTGATGGACCCGCACATCCGAGCCCGGTACGCCATGCACAAAGTGGACCGAGAGGAGGTGGTCTGTTACCCGAAACTGCTCCTTCAGACGGGTCAGAAGATAGTTCACTTCGGAGAAGAGGTACCGGAAACACGGCTTGAGTTTTATGRTTGTTTGTAGCCATTTTTAAGTATGCTAACAATAGCCATGTAGCCACAATACACGTCACGTGACCCGGGGTATTACGTWACCTGGTATCAACTATTACACATATTATACATATTATTACTTATAATATGGTGTCAGTTACATTTGTTATCTTTGGGCTAAATTTTCTTTATTTCTCATAACTTGAATTGTTTAGTTAGCTAACAGTCTCGAGACCATAATACTAATGCTAACTAATACTAAGCAATGTTTATTTTTATTTTATTTTTTGTTTTTTTATTTTTGGCTGCTGTAAAGCAACGTACACTAAAAGATGTTCAAAGAGGTGCTTATCATGAACCGTAACATCAAACTGAAGTTATTTTAATCTTGATCAAATGGTGCACTTTGAACGAGTTTACTCCAGTAGTTTCCAGGATATGCAGATGAAATGTGGGTACACACTCAATGTACACACAGTCATTTTATCAACAAATAGAAGTCTGTGTGTTGGACCTCTTATTCCCAAACAGTTTTCAGTAAATGTTRAGACATTTTCAGTCAGTTTCTGCAGGTAAACAAACACATTTACAGATATTAAACTCTAATCAGAAATGTTTAAGGCTGCATTTATTCATTGGATTAAAGGAGAAAAAGTGCAGATTTTGTTGACKTTTTGCAACCAGTCCTCATGATTTAGTAACAAACATGTTTAAACGTGTTTTATTTTGAAGGACCTGACATGGCAGGATGAGCACTCTGGACCTTTCTCCTGGGAAACGAAGGTATGAAGAGAAACACGTGCAGAGCTCCATGATGAGTGTAAACCTGAGGTTCTTCACCTGCTCTGTCCTCTTTCAGAGTCAGATGGAGTTCAGCCTGACTCCTGCACCTTCAGATCAGCTCATCACTGTGTCACAGGTCGAGTCAAAGAGTGTGAAGCTAAATCACTGCAGTCAGACCAGCAGGACTCCTGCAGGARCCAAGGTGAGGCTTTCTTACAGCTACACTCATGTACACTGGTGTGAGACGTTTGTGTTGTTTTAAACACCTCAGTGTGGTTCTAAGAGCTGTTGTGGTGGTGTATTAAGACACGTTGTGTTGTTGTATTAAGAGACGTTGTGTTGTTGTATTAAGAGACGTTGTGTTGTTGTATTAAGAGACGTTGTGTTGTTGTATTAAGAGACGTTGTGGTGTTGTGTGAAGGTATCGGTGAGTGAGGGACGAAGGCCTGAGGAGGAGTCATCCTTCTGGAAGTTCAGTGCTGAGAGGTCCAGACTGGAAGGGGAGGAAGCAGACTTCCAGTCTTTGACTCCCAGTCAGATCAAGTCCTTGGAGAAAGGAGAGAAGCCCCTCCCCTCCTACCTCAGACTGGTACGTACTAAAACCCCTCCTACCTCAGAATGGTACGTACTAAAACCCCTCCTACCTCAGACTGGTACGTACTAAAACCCCTCCTACCTCAGACTGGTACATACTAAAACCCCTCCTACCTCAGACT